GTAGAATACGGAGACGGCGGCATCAATGGTGGGTTGGTCAAGTATTTGTACCCAATCCAAGGCGGCAATCCTCGTGTTAACAACATCGAAATCACATTGTGCAAAATTATACTCACTGTGGGCGGCTGGGTACGGGAGCGGATGATCTCTCGAACGGGAGTCAACTTTTAGAACCAACTTTCATAATTGCAGAGGGTGGTTCAAACAGCTCGATGCAATCGGAGTCACTGACGAGAACCAGGTCAACAAGCGTACCATTCGTGTTCACCAGATCGTTGATTTGCTTCAATCCAGCATACAGTATGGACTCCACTACAGCGAGTTCCTGTTCTGACGAAGCATTGAGAGGCATAAATCCTCTGACGTCCTCATCGAAGTCCTAAGCTAGATTTGGCAGATTGTAATCGCCCACAACTATGTTTGTATCGTGAGGGTTCGCCATACCAAGGAGCTGTTGTACGGACTCAGCGTGTTTGGTGTAAATGTCGGGCTGACTGTTTGGTCGAATATAGATGCAGCACAGGAAGATCGATTGATGTTGTAAATCGACTTGTACAGCAATTCGTTCGAGGCTCTCAACGCCCACAAGATGCACAGCCTTAGCTCGGATTTCACGGCAATTAAGACGCCACCGCCACGTCGCAGTGCGCTGGTGCGAGAATTCCGGTCACAGCGGTTGATTGTGTAGTTGCTTGCGAGTTCAGCATTCGTAATGTAGGTATGAAGCCAGGTTTCAGTGAATACCACCATGTCGAAATCACAAGAAAGCAGCGAATGGAGTAAAGCGTTAGTTTTTGTCCTCAAGCCTCGGACGTTTTGATAATATACGGTCCAATGTGTCAATCCTCAGACCAGGCAGTACGAGGTTGATTGTAATCGCCGCACACGAGTACAATGTCATCCAGAGAAGCGTTGTGGCAGAGTTCACGAACGGTGGCGATGTGTTCTTCAATCAGATCGACATTACGGCTTTTGTCCGGTGGAATGTAGATATTGCATATCAGGAATCGACGACCACGAATACTGGCAGAAACACACACTTGCTGCAGTCTCCTGCCATTGTTCGTATCAATGCGCGAGCTGCCATGTCGTTCGGCAACGGCTAACGATCACAACGGAAAACGTTGAATGAATTTCCAAAAACCTGCGTCCCGGGTCAGATGACGATGAGCTTGGTTGTGTTGAAGAGTGTCGTGAAGATGAAGCGATGAACAGTGATGATGCGTTGGTATATTGCAACAAATAGTGTCCTCGAACGGACTTACGCCGGAATCGGAAGGACGGTTAGGAAGTGAGAGTTTATGAAAAAGAACGTACTTGCCTGGGAAAGCAGGCTGGAGGACCTCAACTACAGTCTCGACAGCAGGACCGCGATGACTCTGATGAACGCTGGCAGCAATAGACCGGACTGTGTCGAGCTGAGAAGAGGCCTCCAATGTGTTTTTGACGTAGGACTACGTCTGTGATTTCTATATGGGGGTACACTTTGTGAAAACCGAAAAAGGAACATGTAACAAAATTATGAAAGATTTTGAACGGTAATAACTCAGCTGCCCCTAAACCAATTTCAATAATCTTATCACCAATCGATCAGAAATATTTCTACGCATCTGTTAAATTCAAGACATTATCATTTTTCAAAATGTCACTACTGAAAATTACACGAATGTGCAACTGTTGCTGTGATAATTAAAATTATCACCCATTGCCTGCGAGAAGCGATTTCCCTAACACAGATTTCAAAGTTGAATTCCATCCGGTCTCACCAAACGGTGTATATCACCGCATGTGGTGAGTGGTGATGTTCTCCAGTACACAACGAAATGCTGCCTGCAAGCAGCGAGCTGCAGCCCATATGAGCATCCATAGAAGGAGCAAGAAGCCGCACCGTTATTGATCGGAATCAGTAGCTCTTCGTGAGTCGCTGTGGGCCATCTATGTCAAGCGCGTCATACTAAAGAGTATAAACAGAGAGAACCCCATTCAAATTCCTATTCCTATACAAAATACAAGCTTCTGCTGTAGTTAACAAATAAGATTTATTATATAAGATCACGTAGTCCTACGTCACCATTGCGTACGACCCCATAGGGCTGTCCTTTGTAGTTTTTAACATGCGTTGCGGGGTCCGTCCATCCGTCAGGAAGCATCAGTTTTTTAGGAAATTTACAAACTCCCGTAAACGGATACCAACGGGCCAAGTCGAGGGTTCCAACGTCAATTCCTTCAGATTAGGGTCCAATCCGATTTTGTAAGAAACAAACGTCAAGTTGGTGGTATCTTTGCCCTTCGGAACATCCGAAGTACACAAACAGCGCGTAACAATTTTCTGCACGTCATTGTCACTGATTAGTGGATTTAAGCCTGTCATGTACAACCAAAACTTATCCGGCACCGCAGCTTGCACGATAGAAGGCACAGAAAGATGAATCTCGCAAAGGTTAATTGATGAATCTACGTTACGGTCGGCCAGCAGATGGAAATGATGTGAAAATGATAATGACGTTTTGCTAGCTGTCAAATCGTATGGAATATTTTTTAGCACATCATCACTTTTGTGGTTTTGGATTTCAAACCTAGGTGTCGCATGCACTGGTGCAGTTTCGCGTAGATTCATCAATCGCCTTCGTTCCGTTCAAGCTTGAAGTAGACAATACCTGATGAATGATGACGGTAACAAAAACAAACAACCAAGGATCAACACTTTCTGACGCTACAGCGGCGAACACAAAACGACGAAAAAAGCGCGACGAAACTGGCAATAGCCAGAAACTTTATAGTGATAACACAACGACGCACTATACGTAAACAGACAAATAAAGTCGAGTATTTAAAAACGCGTAGTTATGGGAATTAAAAAGGAACATTGATAGCATTAACACCAAGTGCAACATCTTGATAAGATCACTGTATCCGCTTATCAACAGGAAGTCCACCTCATCCCTGAGAAATAAGCTTGCTGTCTATAGACAACTAATCCTACCTTTTTTTGAGTATGGTATGCCAATCTGGGAGAGTTGTTCCAAACGCCATCATCTTAAACTGCAAAGGATCCAGAACAGGATCCTTAGGATGATCCTAAACAGTCCACCGTGGACTCAAAATTCTGAGATCCAAATCCTGGCTGTAATTCAGACATTAGAAGAACGAAGAGTATTCATCCTGGAACGGTTCAGAGACACCTGTCTGAGATCAGATCATGCGTGATCTAGCACGTTAGGTTAAGTTATACTCGTACAAAAATCAGTTTCGGCTTGGCAGTCTGGCAATCACTCAATTAGAACAAATTAATTTTGTAATTTGTCCCTACGTTTTGGCTCTGATTAGGGCCTTCTTCAGGGGAAAAATTGTTGGATTTGTTCTTTGTCTAACAATTTTTCCCCGGAAGAAGGCCCTAATCAGAGCCGAAACGTAAGGACAAATTACAGAATTAATTTGTTCTGATTGAGTGATTGCCAGACTGCCAAGCCGAAACTGATTATTGTAAAACCTCACAGTCGAACACTCCAACACGTTATACTCGTAGTTAGGTAGGTTATCACATTCAAACACAGTCGTCGCAGATAGCCTTATCGGCTAAGGTACGGTTTTACCAAGCCGGAGGAGGCTAGTTCGCTTCTCGGTCCACTCTAGGATTTTTTCAGGTTGAAAAATTTCTCGGCATAGAGTATCATTGTGCTTTGCCACATGATGTACAATTTCATGTATTTGTAAAGGCAAAAGGCATTGAAAGCTCACAATTAATAACTGTCGAAGTAATTATCCCTTTAGTCCTCAATCATAAATTTAAGTGGGGAACTTGTTGATTTTGCTTGTTCCTATTTGAATATTCATATCTGATTGCAATTTAGGAATCAAATGTAATAGACTGTGTATTCGAATTTTATGAGGTCCTGAATTTGGCCAAGTTTGACTAAGCATGAAATCCAAAATGACCCAAATAGTAGGTTACTTCTACTGTATTTTAAATCTATATCAAGAAAAATGCAGGAGAAGATAACTAAACAGCTTATCGTAGTCTACGTCAACCATGCGGTCATGTATATCAACCAGGGGTTGAAACAGTTGAAGTTTTTTACTACACTCGCTTCGTTGTCGTGCGCGACAGTCTGTTTGTATTCGAACACTCATGCTCTACCGTCGCCTCTCTCACACAACACGAGCGGTAGAATAACATTCGAGCTAAAAGAAAATTATCAAAATAGCTATCATATGACATGTGTGATTTCGTTGTAATTCCTCAATTTGGTGTAAATCAAACCATTTCTGATCAGAAATATTATTACTAGGACATCATTGCTTGCTATTTTCAGAATTCACACAAGCACACCATCAGCAGCTCTTATTATGAGAAAAACTAAAATACATACATTCGTGACGGTCTTCGGCGACAGTGTCGTATGACAGAGCCTGTCATATGACATTTTAGTTTGGTACTGTACTATGATAGGCAGTCAATTATCACAGAAAATGTGTCGACTACCGTGACCGCTTACAAGACTGATATCAACCCCATTTTTTGAACGGGAGAAAGGCATAATGTTCAGTTTGGTCGTGGAAAACTAGAAGTATCGGAAGGTTAAGCATGGATGACTTCCAGTTAAAATTTGTGGAAATATATCTGATATGCACAATTAACGATCTAAAGAAGTCGTATAGTATGCGCAGATTAACCAGAGGCCTTCCAAAGTGGAAACCATATGCATCCCCTCTGGCAATTCTAATTTATGACCTGGCCTGCGAATTTAACTAGCAATTGCTAGATTATGAAGAAGCTGAAACCGAGACAAATAAAAACCAACATTAGGGCCGGAGAAACCTAGTGTAATCCATTCAAAAGAGCCTCATTTAAAGAAAATTACCAGATCCACGTTTGTGTTTAACAATTTTTACTCGATCAATGCGAAAATATAACATCATTTTAAAAACAAAAAACAAAAAACAACAGAAGAACAGTTTTTTTTCCTATTCGAAAGGCAGTTCCTCCAATTTCCAATAAATCACAGCAGCAGCAGTAAAAAAAAGAGAACGAAACGGGAGAGAGGGAGAGCGAAGCGTGATCTCTTCTATTGTTTCATAATCATTTGCCGTTGCACTGCTAATCCTAGTTCCTAGCTAATCAAGAGTCTGAGCACTGGCAGTTTTGAAGTCGGTCTGTTCTTGACATCTCTTTGGCAGCCCAAGATTTACCATCCGTGGTATCCTCCGTACTTGAGGACCGGAGCTGGAGCAGCGTGGACATAGGTCGGTGCGGCGGCGTACTTGACCACTGGAGCCGGGGCGTAGTGCACCACTGGAGCAGGAGCAGCAGCGTACTTGACTACCGGGGCTTGAGCGTAGTGCACCACTGGAGCAGGTGCGGCATACTTGACCACCGGAGTGTGAACCTGATGGATGGTAGCGTAGCTGGTGGCAGCCGGAACGGCAGCCTTGACGAAGGTCGGAGCCGGAGCCACGGCATGAACGGCCGGAGCATAGGACACAACCGGAGCTGGGGCGGCGTATTTGACTACGGGTGCTGGAGCAGCAACGGCGTACGACGCATATCCATGGCCACCGTCGTATCCATCGAAGTAACCGGGAGCAGCGCTGGCTGCGGCAATGCAGGCGAAGATGATCTGAATCGAAAGATTGACAGGTCTATTGAAACCACAACCGTCCCATCTATCATTTGATTACTGCACTCACCAGGAATTTCATTATGGCAAACCTAGAAAACTGCGCTGAGATCACGAGAGAGTTCAATTGCGTTGATTAATTGGAAACTGTCCAAACACTACTGCACATTAACCGAACGATCCGTGATCATTATATACCCTTTGGTACCTGAAAGGCCGAAAGTGGATGATCTCCTATGCGCGGCCGAACAACGGTGCAGCCAGCAGCCATTAAAATTCTCACTCATGGAAAGAAGAAGGGGTTGACAAGTTCTAGCCCTCGACTGTCCTAATGTGGAATGCGCAGGCTATTCTTTTTCCTCTTCGCCGACGGACCGATTGCCCACTGGTTGGATGATTGAACCAGTTTATGCAGTGCCCCCCCCCCTCCCTCTTCTGTCGCTGCCCCTTCAGGGGGCGCACGCGGCTCGTGCTTCAGATGTTCTCCAGTCAGTGGTTATGCTTGGAGTCAATCGTAGGAGCCTATAAATAAATCATTAAGAAAATAACGTGCTGAAGATACATGGATCCGCTTTGACCTACTCTGCCCCGGTGTGCATGCTTGGATCGCGAGAGGTGGTGGTTGCTGCTGGTGCTCCGATCATCGCCTCGCTGCTGGTTGACTTTGCGGTTATTGAGGTATGTTCGATTTTATTTAATTGATGGCAAGAATTTTACTTCAAACTATTATCCGTGGGGTTTTGTAGATCTAGAACTAACTTCTTTTTTTTTTCAGTTGAAGTTCATGCGAATTTATGCGGCGTTGAATTTTATTTTTTTCACAATAAATTCATTATGGTTTTTATCTGAATGATATAATTGTATTTATATAAATCAATCTAACTAGTACGCGTGAAAACAGGATTATTTTCACAAGCCTTTGAAAACTCCTCAAAAATTATGGCAACTTCTAATTGGTCCAATTGGTGATTATATTTTAAAATTGACACTCCGAATTTTCTATGTCTCATAATTATTATTTTTTAAGGTATCCGAACCTCAAAATTTGCATGATCATGCATGACATGACTGTTTTGGACATAAGACCCAAATATTGGATAGTGAAGATCAAGATCAATGGTTACTCCATGAGTAACAAGCTCTGAAACCCGATTTGTTTGTTTAGTCATAACTAACTCTTGTAGAAATATTGATCTACATACGCCCATCCATTACATTTCACAAGGCACCCCTAAACATAAAGACTGGAACGCGCAAAAATTGGTCGACAAAAAAAATTGTTTCTTTCAGTCAAAGTTCATATCACTAAAATCTTCTTATTTTTCTTTTGGTAGTTCAATTCAAATATTTAAAAAAATGTTCGTTTATTCTTTTGGTTTGCCAAATCCGAACTGCCGTGCCTTCTGCTTAACCCTTCCTTATTCGGAGCCGACAGCTAGTTAGATTCAAACTGCTGCTCGTTTTCCATGGATTTATTAGTTTTTTTTAGATTCCGTTTGACCAAGGCCCAATACCGTTCGATAGGGCGGAGTTCTGGGCTGCTGGGAGGGTTGTGGTCTTTGGGTACCACAACCACGTTGTTTGCATCGTACCACTCAATTGCCTTTTCCCATAGTGGCAGCTCGCCAAGTCCGGCCAGAATAGCACAGGTCAATTATGTTGCTTTAGGAATGGTATCAGCCGCTTTTCCAGGCACAAGTTCTGAGAAGTGCTGGGAACTCCAGACAAAAAATCAGGGATGTTCAGAGCTCTAAAGATCCATTTTGAAAACCTCAGTGATAATCCAAGAAATTAAAGAAAATCAGAGACATTCAGAGCACTTTCAAAAACTTCAGGAAATTTCCGAGAGCTACAGGAAAGTCCAGAACGTTGGAGAAGTTTATTGATCGTTAAGGGTAGATTCTGAGAACGTTAATGCAGATCCATGAATTTCAAGAAAACCTCGTGAACTTAGATGAAGATCAGCAAACTTTACAACAGTTCCATTAACATCAAGAAAATTTCAGGAGCTTCACCAATGCTGCAAGAAACTTCAGAACACTGCACGTAAGTTCAAAGATCATTAGGAAAGTTCAGATTGGTTTGAGAAAATTTTAAAATTTTTTGGGCAGTTCCATGAATGTCCGGAAAATTGTGGACACAGAAGGGTAAATTCGAAAATTATGAGAACTTCGGGTCCATTCTATTATAGTAGCTTCCGAAAAATTGTAGGAGCCTTACAGATGTACCAAGAACTCAGTCCAGAAAACCTAAACGAAGTTACGAGTGCCATGAGCGTCAGAACTTATCGAAAATTTTGAAAATGTTATGCTCGCTAACGTTCCATTAGCATCTGAGAAATTGCGGGAAATTTCAAGATATTCTGAGAATTTCATGGAGATTCCAAAAATTCAAAGCAAGTTCCGAAACCTTCACGAACGTCCAGAACAACATGGAAGTTGAAGAATCTGCTATGGCAAGTTCCGATAGCCAGTTAGGGGCCTCCTCCGGGCTCAGTCGGTAAATGCGCAGCTACAAAGCAAGACTCAGCATGGTCTGGCGGCTGGGTTCGATTCCCCGTTCGTTCTAGGAATTTTTCGGGCTCGAAAGTTTCTTGACTTCCCTGGGCATGATTGTACTTGCCACACAATTGTACTGCTAATACTAATACTAATACTACTAATGCAAAAATGGTACAGGCATGGAAAGCTCTCAATTGATAACTGTTGAGAGCACGCAATAAGCTAATATGCGATATGGAATAAGCCCAAAAATTCGAAGAAGAAGAAGAAGAAGAAGAAGGCGAAGAAGACGAAGAAGAAGAAGAAGAATAAGAAGAAGAAGAAGATAATGAAGTTCCGATAGCTTTAGGGCAGTTCAATAAACAAAAAATTCTAAGAACTTCAGCGAAGATCAATGAGCTTCAGGTCAGTTCCATTAAATTCAAGAAAATTCCCAGGAACTTAACTGAAGATGCCAAAACTTCAGTTGAGTTTAAAAATCTTTAGGGAAGCTACGTAACTTCGAGCCCAGGTCCATGATGAAGAAAATTGAGGGAATATCAGGAAAGTTCCGTGAACTTCAGGTAAATTTCGAGTAGTTAAGGACAGTTCCATTTAATTCAGGGATATCTAGAGAAGTTTGGGAAAGTCAAGAAAGCTTCAGAAGTCCAGAGGACATTACTAAAACTGTAATCTTTTTATCCTCTTTAAAAATTTCCTGGAATTTCAGGGAAGATCAGAGATGTACCGAACATTAAAAAAATGCATATTTTGGTATCTTTAAAGATGTCCAGAGTTTTTCAAGAAAGTTCAAAGGTTTTGAAGACATTTGAGCGTTTCTACCCAAGTAACATTGCAGGTTGTATCGCGGTTTTATAGCATTCTACAAGTCTAAATCATGGTCTACAGAACCCTCATAAAACCAAAATTGTTACTTGGGTACGCCAAATGACGAATCGATTTGATGCGACCTTCTCTGATTTCCATTAATTTCAGGGCATTACCTCGAACCTACGAAACATTGTGAGAACTTTGGAATACTTTTAAGAACATCAGGGAAGATCAGAGAATCTCAGGGCGGTTCATTTAACTTCAAGGAAATTGCAGGAAATTTAATGATGCTCAAATAAACTCAGAGAATTTCCGGAGCTTCAGCAAAGTTCTGAGATCTTTAGGGAAGTCCACAGAACTTCTGAGAAGTGTAATTATTTTTGGTTTCGATTTTTTAAGTTCAAATGAGTCAAATTTCTGTAGTGAAATGTGTGACTAACTGCACAATAAAGGGTCTCGCCTATCAAATTGCATCACGGAAAAAACGCTGTAGAAAATTACCCATTGGGTATTTCCTCTTGAAAACTTGGATTGAAGTAGTTTAGAGTGTATTTTTATCGCTGTCAGTATTTCGAAAGTTGGAAAAATGGCGTCACCCGAAAGGCAACGTCGCGAATTGATTTTGCGCAACCACCTGGGAAATCCACAACTCTCTCATCGGGACATCGGAAAACAACTTGGAATCGTGCAGTCAACGGTGAGTCGTGTGATTAAACGTTACTACGAAACTCTGAGCATCGAACGGAAGGAGAAATGCCGTCAGAATGGATGTCCTATTAGTGATCAGGATCACAAGCGTGTTGTGAAAGCGTTTAAGCGGAATCCCAATGCTTCGGTCAGGGATGTGGCCAAAAAGTTGAATCTGTCCAAGTCTTTCGTTCAGAGAGCCAATGACCGGGAGGGACTGCAAAGTGCAGAAGGTTCCAAATCGTGATTCAACACTAACAATGGTGGAAGAATTTCCTTGCATAACCGCTGATTTCAAATTTGGGACTGTACAAAATTTATTAGACAGCATGTTGTTCTCATGATCATTACTCGAGATAAACCACCTATCAGATCCTGATAAAAATCACATATGTTATGGACTGAAAATTTCAAGTCATTTGGTAAAATAGTGTAATAGTTACAACTGCAGGAGTGCTACAAGATTTTCCAAATTTGATCCGCGAAATCCGCGATTTCTCAAAAGAAATCCGCAACTTCAAATACTAATCCGTGACAGCAAAAAAAAACTGTTTACATTGCCTAAAAATAGCATTTGTATACTACTGCATGGCAGATTTTGCCTGCTCTCAACTTAGTGTTCTTTGAAGTACTTTCACATTTGAATTGAGAAATTTTCTTGAAACTAAAACCTTTGCGTCTCTGACGTATTTTGCTGTCCTACATGTTGTTGTTAATTTGGCTCTAGTTTTCTCATTTTTTACCGATTCAAGCCAAACACCCTGCACATAATCGATAAATTACCAGAGTTTCATGAGTTACACTTGTTGGTCACGTCGCGGTTGTGTATTTACACGGATATTCCTTGGGTTCTGTCCAATGGTGAGCCATTTTCATGATATTTTTATTTCTGATATGAACCTAGCACTTTTCGTTGTCAAATCATAAGCGAATCATTTATATGTGACTTCGTGGATCATGCACGACTTATTACTATGTATACCGGAAATTATAGGTTTTCCAAATCGTCCAGGACACCAGTTGATTTGTTCTAGTAGATCAACCAAGACTGCAATAATGTCTGTAGTATCGAAGAATGTCCAATCAGATTTAAAGTGTCTATGTGGATCATGCATGATCTATTTTGGAGTAATCCAG